TGTTAGTCAAATGTTAAATGGGAAGAAATGGGAAGAGAAACGATCTATGATGTAAAGTAATAAGAAGTATAATTAGGCAAAAACTAGTTTTACTTTTCCATCTATCTCTGTTTCTTTTTATTTCTTTTTTTTTAAAGGAGGGAAAATAGAGATGGCAGTTTTTCTACGCTAGCAGATGAGATTAAGGGAGAGATTCAGTAAAATGGTGTTGGTTACCATGGCATTCCTGGTACGACTTTCCAGAAACTCCAAATAAAAGGGTGAATTTCGTGAGTCCGTTGACTCAAGTAATTTTAATCTATAACTTGAGAATTATCCACTTAGCTCCCAGAGATTAGCTTGCTTTATTAGCATATCAAAAAATCAGCAGAAAGAAGAGAAAATGCGTGTAGAGATGCTTTGCTTTAGTTTGAGGAAGTTGGTCCACAGTTAATTAGGGCAAAACTTAGAGACCACGGGCAGATTAATAGAGTGAGGTTTAATCATTATCAGGTACGGTTAAGAAAATGCCACCAAGCATTCTTTCTGTGAGATGCAGTTACTTGCATCGTTTGAATGGTTTGCCATGGGAGAGCATATTATCTATTGATGCACAATAATTACACCCAAATTTAGCAGCTTAAAACAACACAATTATCATCTCAAAGTGTCCGTTATCATCTGGGCATGGCTCAGGGTCTCTCAGGAGCTGTAACCAAGGTGTCAGCCAGGCTGGGGTTTCAGCTGAACGTTTAACTGGGGAAGGAGCTGCTTCCCAGCTCCCATGTTGTTGGCAGGATTCAGTTCCTCGAGGGTCGTTGGACTGAGGGCTTCAGTTCTTAGCTGGCTGTTGGCTAGAAGACACCTTTAGTTCCTTGCCATGTGGCCATCTCCAGTACATAGCTTGCTTCATCAAAGCGTGTAAACCAAGATGGCAGTTGAGTCTGCTAACAAGATGGAGATCACAATCTCATGTAACCTAATTATAGAAGGAACATCCCATTGCCTTTGCCATATCCTATTGATTAGAAGTAAATCACAGGTCTTGCCCACACCAAAAAGGAGAAGATTACACAAGGACATAAAAACCAAGAGGTGGGGAGGATTGGGGGACATTTTAGAGTCTACCTGCTACATGGAGGGAGTAGCAGCGATGTCACCCTGTAATTGGAACTTCCGTGTGGGGAAGGTCTCTGAATCCATATTTACTCAAAGGATGCATGATTGTTGATGACTGTTGGGGGCAGAGTTAGGGTGTGGGGGGCGCACAGTTGTACACATTGCACAATTTCCATCTCTAACTAGGAATTCTATCTGATTCCTGGGAAATCTGAACTGTGGGGAGACCATTCAGCCCAGTAGAATCTAAGTGCTGGATAATACAGGGCCCATGTAACAGTTGGGACTCTTTTAATGGCAGGCAACAGAAAGTCTAACCCAGGTGGTTTCAGAGAAGAGAGAATTTATCGGCTTAGATAACCAGCACATGCAAGAGTAAGTCTCAGTTCAGGGCTTAAAGCAATATATTTTATTTGTTTGTTTATTTTATTTTTTTGATTAGGGTTACTGAGGTATAATTATGTATGGCAAAATCCACTGTTTTTAGTGTACAATTCAGTGGGTTTTGACAAAGACGTCCAGTCATGTAACCACCACCACAATCAGGATAGAACATTTTCATCACTGCCCCCCACCCCGAATTTGCCCCTTATCCCATTATAATCAGCTCTTCCTGCTACCCCCGTCCCCGGCAAACCTCTTTCAGTGCCTAGATTTTGCCTTTTTCAGAATATTTTTTAAATGGAATCATATTTAACGGAATCACGCTGTCTTTTGAGTCTGGCTTCTTTGGCTCAGTATATTGCCTTTGAGATGCACCCATGAATCAGTCGATCATTCCCTTTTGTTACTGAGTAGTAGCTCATTGTGTAGATGTACAACAATTTGTTTCCTCATTAACCAGCTGAAGGAAATTTGGCTTGTTACCATTTTTTGGCAACTATGAATAAAACTATAAACATTTGTGCATAGGCTTTTTGTGAATATAAGTTTTCATTTTCCTGATAAATACCTAGTATGGAATTGCTGGGTCATATAGTAAATCTATGTTTAACTTTATAAGATACTGTCAAGTTGTCTTCCAAAATGCCTGTGCCCTTTTGCATTCTCATCAGCAGAGAATGAGCGTCCTAGTTGCTCCCCATAAGCACTAATACTTGGCATTGTCATTTTTTAATTTTAGCCATTCTAATAGGTGTGCAGTGGTATCTTAAGTAGGTTTTAATTTGCATTTTCCTAATAACTAATGATACTGATCATCTTTTCACATGTTTATCTGACATCTGTATAACCTCTTTGGTGAAATGTCTGTGCATATCTTTTGCTCATTTGAAAAATTGTAATCTTACCTATTTTGAGAATAAACACCACTCTTAGAATTGTCATAGGTCAAGTTTGAGTGTATAGAAACAACAACAACAAATATATAATGGGGCCCATTTTAAAAAATATAAAATATATGAAAGGACATAGGACTCCAGAGGCAATAAAATAACATAACATAAAAAATATATTGTTGTTTTATTATTATTGGATTTTCAGAGTTCTTTATATATTCTGGATGTAAATCCTTTAACAGAAATGTGTTTTGCAAATACTTTATCCCAGTCTGTGGTTTGCATTTTCATTGTCTTAACAGGGTTGTTTAATGTGTTTAAAAGTTAATTAATTTATCTGAGAATAATTAAGTCTATCTGGGTTTTTCTGGGTAGGTTTTGCAGGTAGGAACTCTGAAATAGGTTTAAAATGTTTTTAAAACGTTTAAGTGAAACATAACATATTTAAAGAAAAGTGTGCAAGCTGTAAGTGTGCAGCTCAATGTATTATGACAGTGCAAATGCACTTGAGAAACCAGCACCCCAAAAGCATCATTGTGTCCCCTTCTCTCCAAAAGTAATTTCTATGCTGAGTTCTGAGAGATCAGTTTTTAACACTTTTAAAACAATACAAATGGAATCAAGCAGTGTGAGTTTCATCCATGTAATTGCAGGTAGCTATAGTTGGTTAATTTTCATTGCTGTATAGTATTCCATCGTATGACTATACCACCATTTATTTATTCACGTTGTTGGACATTTGTGGTTATTTCCAGTTTTGACCATTAAATGATCATTTTGTACTTGATTTTTGGTTCACAAGTCTAGACAGTTCTGATGGATATATACCCAGGAGTAAAATTGCTGGGACAAAGAGTAAGCATACATTCAAATTTACTAGATTCTACTAACAGTTTTCTAAAGTGCTTATATGAATTTAAACTCCCTGCTGCAGTGTACAGGAATTCCAGTTGCTCTACATTGTCAACAACACTTAGTATTGTTAGACTTTTTAATTTGAACCATTCGAGTGGGTATGTAGTGGTATCTCATAATGATTTTATTTTCCATTTACCAAATGACTAATGATGTTGAGCATCTTTTCATCTGTCTATTGGCCATTAGATATCTTTTCTCGATGAAGTGCCTGCTTAAGTCTTTTGTCCTTTTTTCTATAGTGTTGTTATTTTGGTATTGATTTTTAGGAATTCTTTTATTCTCTGGATATGAGTCCCTTTTCAGTTATATGTGTTGCGACTATCTTCTCCCACTCTGAGGCTTGCCTGATTTTCACTGTCTTAATGATGTCTTTACATAAACATAGATGTTCTTAATTTTAATAAAGTCCAATTTATCAATCTTTTCCTTGATGGTTAGTGCTTTCTGTGACCTGTCCAAGAAGTCTTTTCCTACCTGAAAATAATGAGAATACACTCCTATGTTATCTTCCAGAAGCTTGTTATTTTACTTTTTACATTTGGATCTAGAAGCCATTTGAGATTTATTTTTATGTATGGTGTGAGGTAGGGGTCAAGTATTATTTTTTTTCCATGTGAATATCCAATTGACCCAGAACCATTTATTAAAAAGGCTTATTTCCTCACTTTCCGGCCATTTTGTCATAAATCAAGTGTTTGTAGGTGCATGGGTCTGTTTCTGTACTCAAGTCTCTTCCATTAGTTTATTTTCATGCCAACATCACTCTCTTAATTTCTATCCTTAGAATAACTCTTAATACCTGGTAGAATATGCCCTTCCACTTTGTTGTTCTTCTTTAGGATTCTCTTGGCTAGTCTTACATTTACATATAAATTTTAGAATCAGTTTCTCAATTCCCATAAAAATACCAACTGGGAGTTCAACTGGAATTGTGTTAAATTTCTAGATCAATTTGCAGAGAATGGACATTGTTACAGTATGGAGTCCTCCAATACCATGGTTTATCCCTCCATTTATTTAGGTGTTTAAAAATTTTCATCAGTGACACTTTAGAATTTTCCATGTACCAGTCTGACATCTTTTTCTGGATTGATTCTTGGGTATTTGATTTTTAAAAATGTCATTGTAAGTGGACCTTTTTTGTTGTCTAAATGTTTGCTGGTGTATAAAAATGCGTTTGATGATTTTATACTTATCTTGACAGACTGGGTTTTGAAAGCTTGTTCTTTCTTGGGAGGTAGGTTGAAGCATGTACCCCAGTGTGCTCTCTGAGCCTCCTAGAGGCATGGCACGTGGGATTCAGTGTTGCCATATTGCACAATTCCAGGGGGCAGTATTCACGTTGGAGTCAAGGAAGGCAACATTTACATAGAGTAGGATGCGATTGGTGCCCTATGCATTGTGCAACTTTGACTACCCTGTCAGAAGTATATGAAAGTTGGCAGACATTGACAGAATTACCCTTCTCCAGATCGGGAAATGACTCTCTTTAATGACTAATCTATTCCTCACTACAAGGAAGGACTTTTCCCTCCGCCAGCCTGTTGAGGGTTGTTTGAGAACTGAAACAGCATCACCCTATGAGTGAGCCCCCCACTCCCCCGCCCCTTCCCCATAGTCCAACTCCTCATATTAAGTTTTATAGCCAATCATGCTTCTCTTACCTCTGGGATCCAAAGCTAACAAAGTTGATTCCTGACTTAGCAGGAAAGAATGGGAAAACCAACCATTGGGAAGGATGGGGAAGTGAGAAGTGACCTGGATAGAGCTGCTGCATACAGCTGTACAGTGTGTGCACTGCACAAAGGCCTCTACTAAAGGGGTGAGTTTGGAGGAAGAGGGCTGAAATCCAGTTCTGCTCTGATCATCAAGCTGTGTGCCCGGGTGTGGGGCTGCATCCCACCAAGGGGACACTTTCTCCTAATTCACCTGCCCGGATGGGGCGCCTTTTTCTGTTTTTCGACAAACGTGCCTTATAGGCTAGTGGCTGCCCTGATATAGGCCTTGAAGGTTGATCTATCTCTATCTCTAAGTTGACCATCAGTGGCTGCATTGATCAGCTTCTCTTGGCACAGATTAGCAGTGTTGCCAGGATGCTGACAAAATGTTTCTGGAGAACTCCATGCCCTCTGCTGCCCTTTCTGCTCGCCCTTTATTGATTCTTCTCTCCTGCCTTTCTAAGCCTGAGCCAAGAACCCTCCTGTTATTAAAAGCAGTCCCTGCTGCCCATAACTTTCATTTCCTTTGAATTACATTAATTGCCTGACAGCTAAAAACTGAGCTGGTATTTTCAGATTTCAGCTGCTGGTCGGCAAGAAATATTTACCAGCTCCTTCAGATTTATAAAGATGCCACGGAGATGCCTGGAGACTAACAATCAGAAAATACAGCAGCAAAACAACACTATTTTTCAAGGTTAAATGCTCAGAATGCTAAAAAGAAATTGTCCATAAAGCAAAATAGGGATTCAGAAGAAGGCAGCCTGTACCCTGGACAAAAGAAAGGAGCCGGAGGTTTAAAATAAGATTTCACAGCTTCACAATAATTATGAATTTAATAAGGGGAGCTTTATTTTTAATTTAGTTCCAGTCTGCCAGCCCGTGTGCTCCCTCCTGCCCCCTCTCCGTGGCACAGTATTGCTCTGTAATGTGGTCCTGAGGCTGAGGTCACAGTGGGAGCGAGGAAAGGCCCCCAGCCATAAGAATTTCTGATGGAGAAGTATTTAGACAGATAATGTTCCAGCCTCTCTGTGGGCAGATGGGACTAACTCCCACTGGCTTTGTTCCCTCCCGGCAGTCAGAATGTCTCTCGCTATGTAAGAAGACAGCAGCTTCTGAAAATTCCAAGACAGGAAGATTTTTTTTTCTCTGATAGGACTCAAGGCTTTGGCTCCTGTTCTGCATGAGCAGAGTAATAAAACTCAGCCAAGGCCGCTGAGAATGGTCATAGACCTCCAGGCCAACCCTGGCTCCGATGCCTACTGACCCCTCAACAGGGAGATTTAAGTGTGGTTAGGAAAGGGCCACAGATTTCCTAAAATGCTTTTCCATAGACTACCTTTTAGTGGTAGCTGTTTTCAGGGTCATACCCCTTCATTGGTTTGTTGTTCATTCATTCACTGAACAAATATTTATGGAAGGCCAATTTTTTTGAGGTGCTCTTCTTTCTAGAGGTTCAACTGAATGAATTTAACACAAAGTGAATTCGTTTAAAGGGAACACATTGGTGGCTTTTAGTACATTCAGAGTGTTGTAAAACCACCACCTCTATCTGTTTCCAAGACATTTCATCACCCCAAAATAAAAATTTGTACCCATTAAACAGTTACTTCCCCCAACCCCTGTTAACTACCAATCTGCTTTCTGTTTCTATGAATTTACTTATTCTGGATATTTTATATAAGTGGAATCATACAATATGAGACTGTTTGTCTCTGCTTCTTACACTTAGCATGATATTTTCAAGGTCTATCCACACTGTAACATGTATCAATACATTATTATTTTTTATGGCTGAATAATATTCCACTTTATGTATATACCACAATTTGTTTAACCACTTATCCACTGATGGGCGTTTGAGTTGTTTCCACCTCTTGGGCTGTTGTGAATAGTGCTGCTGTGAAAATTCAGGTACCATTTGTTTGAGTATCTGGTTTTAGTTCTTTGGGGAGCGGAATTTCTGGGTCATAGGGTAATTCTATGTTTAGCTTGTTGAGAAATCGCCGAAGTGTTTCCACGGGGCTGCACCATTTTACATTCCCATTTCAAGGGTTCTTTTATATGCTCGGACACATTAATGAACTAACCCGGCCCTTACATTCTAGCAGGAGGGGTAGATAATAAACCACAAACATAACAAAAAAATAAATAAACATGTATAGTGTAGAAGATGATCTGTTCTAGGCAAAACAGAGGTCAATCAGGGTAAGGGCTACTGGAGCAGACAATGGGTTCTAATTTTAAACAGGATGGTCATGACAGGCTTCATTGAGAAGGAGAGATTGGAACACAGCCTTGAAGGAGGTGAGGGAGTGAGTTAAGTGGGTATCTGGGGGAAGAGTGAAACAGTCAGAGGGAAGGGTAAGTGCAAAGGCCCTGGGGTACCTGGCTTGTTTGAGGAACAACAAGGAGGCCAGTGTGGCTGGAACAGAGTGAGCAGGGGCTAGGAGAGGTATAAGAGAAGAGATCAGAAAGGTAATGGATGACAAAATCATATAGAGCCTTAAAGGCCACTTTAAGGCCTTTGATTTTGAACTGTGTGCAATGGGAAGCCATGGGAGGGTTTTGACTGTAGGACTAATGTTTAAAAAGGAAGCATTGTGGCAAAAATATCCAAAACAAAAAGTGATAAATGTTGGAGAGGTTGTGGAGAAAAAGGAACCCTAATACACTGTTGGTGGGAATGCAAACTGGTGCAACCACTATGGAAAACAGTAGGGAGCTTTCTCAAAAAATTGAAAATAGAAATACCATATGACCCAGCCATCCCACTACTGGGTATCTATCCTAAGTACTTGAAATCAGCAATTCCAAAGTCCCACGCACCCCTATGTTCATTACAACATTATTTACAATAGCCAAGATGTGGAAGCAACGTAAGTGCCTATCAACTGATGATTGGATAAAGAAGACGTGGCATATATACAATGGAATACTACTCAGCCATAAAAAAGGATAAAATCGTCCCATTCACAACAACATGGATGGACCTTGAGAGTATTATGTTAAGTGAAATAAGCCAGACAGAGAAAGACGAACTCTGTATGACTCCACTCATAGGTGTAAGTTAAACATGGAGACAAAGAGAGTTGATTGGGGGTTACCAGGGGAAAGAGGGGGTGGGGGGAGGGCACAAAGGGTGAAGTGGTGCACCTACGACATGAGTAACAATAATGTACAACTGAAATTTCACAAGGTTGTAAACTATCATAATCTTAATAAAAAGTTAAAAAAAAAAAAAAAGGAGGCATTGTAATAATCCAGATGAGACACAATGGTGGATCGTACAAGAGTTACGGAGGAGATGGAGGGAAGTGGTCAGATTCTGGATAAAGTTTGAAGATAAAGCCAACGGAATTTCTTTGTGCATTGGAAGAGGGTTGTGTGTGAGGGCGGCAGGAGTCAAGGAGAACTCTGAAACATTTGGCATTAACAACTGGAAAGAAGGAACTGTCATCATCCAATATTGGACAGGCTGTGGATGGAATGGAGTTTTTGGGGAGAAGACAGGTTTTGGACATGTTGTGTTCCAGATGCTCCGTCCACACTAGGTGTCTATTAAACTCTAGTTTTTGGAGTTTGTCTTGGAGGCCAGAGCTGGGAGAGAGGGGTTAGAATGGCTGGAATTTAGCATGGAGGCACCATGGAAGCATATAGCACCCGTAGAGGTAATAGCTTGCTCCACTGTGACAGGAAAAGCCCTTTATCAGGAGACACAAAGGAATTTCTACAGGAGCCAGTTAGCCCTGATGAAAGTAACGAATGGTGGAGATGGTGACAAAGTGAAGAGCGTAGGTCATATCTAAAGGAGACTCAGTTCCAGCTAATCTTTTCCAGGTGAAAATCCAGGCTTAGTGTTATCAGGGATCTTCAGAATTTTCAAGGAAAATGGAATGTCTGGATTCTTATGTCATCTTCAAATTTTAAAAATAAACTAGCAAACAGCTATATAAGATTTTTTTTGTCACCTGGGGAAATTTGCATATGGACGGTATGTTGTATGACATTACGAATTTTTGTTATGTTCTTAAGTGTGATAATGGGATTATGGATGTATTGAAGAATGTTCTTATTATTAAGAAAATTCACACTAAAGTATTCCATGGTGAAGTATTCTGTTGTCTGAAACTTATTTTCAAATAGTTCAGGAAAAAATATGCGTATGTTAGAGATATCTGAATATTAATTATACTATTATTTGAACTTTTGTTTGGATTTGAGAATTTTCAAAATCAGAAGTTAGTGGGGTGGGGAGGAGGGAAGCACAGGCCCAAGAAAAATGTCCAAAATCAGGAGCTAACCTATGGGGTTGCCGTAACAATATATTTTTTGATGTTATTATCTTTGTTATGGAAGAACCTTTTTATACATCTGCAGTCCTCAGGACTGTTAGCGTCTCCAAGTTGGGGGAAATATCTTCCTTGAATAACTTTGGCCTCAAATAGATGGGAGGAGCACAGAGGCATAGTGGCAGTTCCTAGTTGTGTATATGCAAATTCTGCTGGAGCCAAAGGAGAATTCAGTTACTGTGGATTCCTACAAAATGGTGGGAATGAGATTAATAATACTGGCTCGCAGCAAAGACACCATCTTGAAAAGTTGCTGTGAAGAATTCGTTAGATGACACACAGCAGAAATACAAGACGCATGTCTTCCTCTGTCTCCCTTACCATCCTTCTGTCTGCGTAAACGACTCTCGAAATCCCTTGCAGACCTATGATTTAATTGCTCAGAGTCTGGGATCCAGCGAATCCGTAAACCCACCTCGAGGTCTTTATTTTCAGAACCTGGGACAGTGCTCAGCATCTGACAGTCACTCAGCAAGTTAACTGTTGAAAGAGGGAAAAAATGTTCATTTATTTGTGTCCATTGCCAGACAAAGGAATCTATTACTTACTGGGGAGGGGCTTGCGTGAGATTTCCTGTATGAGTTTGGGAAATGCTGAGAGATTTTATTTTTTGGTGTTCCGTCTTAGGCTCTTATTCTCACATGGACTTCAGGACTGGTCCCTCCTAAGGAATGTGAAAAAGAAGCGTTCGGATTCCAGGCTGCTCATAAATCTGCCTTCTGTGTTATCATTTTTTACCTGCCTACTTCTGTTTCTCCTGGGTTCGAAGGAAGTGCTTTACTTTAGAAATGATTCACTACCCCTGGGCCACCGACGGCTTTGAAAGCCACACGAGACAAGTTCCATTTCAAACCCCCCGATTTATAATCATGGGGGAAAGCTGGCTGTTGTCTTGAGGGTTGTCCACGATCTCACAAACCCAACCTTTGTTCCTCATGTGCCCATTTTTCAAAAACTTACTACTCAAATCTCTGAAAGTCATCGCCCCCGAGGAAACGTTTATCTTTGGTTGGACATCTTTTGCGCTGTATCCCTTTTCAACTGTCCTTTCTAATATAGGATAAATGGCTCTGCGGGGTTTGGAGTGAAGAGTTACGTCTTGCAGCATGTTTGTGAGTGTGTAGAAACCCTACTCCCCTCCCCTCTGCCCCTGGGCCAGAGATGGGGGAATAACCAGTTAAGACAAATGGGTTTGGGCGATGTTGTGGGTTGAACTGTGTCCCTCAAAATTCATGTTGAAGTCCTCACTCCCAGAACGTCAGAATGTGGTCTTATTTGGAGATCGGGCTGTTGCAGATGTAATTAGTTAAGATGAGGTCATACTGGAGTAGGGTGAGCCTCTAATCCGTTATAACTGGTGTCTTTATAAAAAGGGAAACTTTGGAGACAGACATGGATGGAGGGACATTGCCATGTGAAGATGAAGGCAGAGATCTACAAGTCAAGGAATGCCTAAGACTGCCAGCAAGACGTCAGAAGCTAGGAGAGAGGCATGGACACTTTCCCTCACCGCCCCCAGAAGGAACCAACCCTGCCGGTGGCCCCTTGATTTCAAACTTCCAGCCTCCAGAACTGGGAGATAATGAATCTCTGCTGTTTAAGTCACCCCATTCGTGGCTGTTTGTTATGGCAGCCACATGGAAACGGAGGTGTTTACGATGTTCGTCTAAAGGTCAGTATTTGCTTGGGAGGCAATATAACATAGTGGCTAAGTACTCGGGTTTTTAGAACCAGACACCTTAAGTTTGAATTCCCAGTTGCATAAACTGGGAGAATTATTTACCATCTCAGAGTTCCACTTTCCTCAAAATAAAATGGGGCGTAATAGAGATTGACTTGATAGTGCTGTCACGAGGATTAAATAAGATAACGTATTTAAAGCAGTAAGCCCAATATCTGGCCCATGGTAAGCATCTGATGAGTGACAGTTATTGTTACAGTTATTATCAGCAAGAATTGGCAACATTTACCAAGTCTGAAAGACACCTCGGCTACTTAGAATTTAAAAATTTCTGCTTGGACCACACTTAATCGATGGTTGAAACTTCCCCCGGTCTGACCCCTGCTCTCAAGGCTAATGGCCTGGGGCTGTTTGCCATCTCTGTTTCCTCTCAGGGATTTGATCTCTCTCTGTCAAATAGGGCTTGTCATAATTGACACACAAGAAGATCCACTTGCCATTTAAACAAGTAAAATTAAGATGGTTCTAGAAACTGGGTGAGAATTCAGAGTGACCAAACAGTTACCGAGATCACGTATTCATTCACGTTCAAACAACATGTATCTATTGAACGCCAGTGGACTCAGCGCAGGCTCTGACTCAGAATGGGTTGTTTCTCCTGTGAACAGAGGGAGGGGTGCAGCACAATGGTCACGCCACCGAGACTGCCACTCCATGAAACATATTCCAGGTACTGGGCACTGCCTTAGAGCCGCTACCCTTTAAAATTCTTTGAGGTTAGATAGTGTTATCACCCCCATTTTACAGATAAGGAAACTGAGGCACAGAGTGATTAAGTAACTTGCTTGAGGCCATGAGTAGTTATTGGAAGAATGAGGGTTTGAACCCAAATCTCTCAGACTCCAAAGCCCTTTTGTTAATGTGTGTGTGTGTGTGTGTGTGTGTGTGAAATCAGCCAGTTTTTAAAATTTATTTTTATTGAGATAACATTTGCTTATAACATTATATATGGCAGGTGTACATCATTATATTTTGACTTCTGTGTAGACTAGATCGGGTTCTCCGTCAAAAGTCTAGTTTCCATCCATCACTTTACACATGTGCCCCTTTTACCCCTTTCACCCTCCCCCAACTCCCCTTCCCTTCTGGTAACCACCAGTCTGTTCTCTGTGTCTGTGTGTTTGTTTGTTTATCTTCCACATATGAGTGAGATCATATGGTATTTGCCTTTCTCTATCTGACTTATTTTGCTCAGCATAATACCCTCAAGGTCCATCCATGTTGTTGCAAATGGTACGATTTTGCCTTTTTTATGACTGAGTAGTATTCCATTGTATATGTACCATATCTTCTTTATCCATTCATCTGTTGATGGGCGCTTAGGTTGTTTCTGAGTCTTGGCTATTGTAAATAATGCTGTAATGAACCTAGGGTGCATATATCTGTTTGAGTTAGTGTTTTCGTGTTCTTTGGATAAATACCCAGAAGTGGAATAGCTGGATCATATGGAAGTTCTATTTTTAATTTTTGAGGAAACTTTATACTGTTTTCCATAGTGGCTGCACCAATTTACATTCCTACCAGGAGTGTCTGAGGGTTCCCTTTTCTCCACATCCTCTCCAACACTATTTCTTGTCTTATTAATAATAACCATTCTGATAGGTGTGAGGTGATCTATCATTGTGGTTTTAATTTGCATTTCCCCAATAGTAAGTAGTGATGTTGAGCATCTTTTCACGTGCCTGGGTCATCTGTCTATGTTCCTTGGAAAAATGTCTGTTCATATCCTCTGCCCATTTTTTACAGGCTTGTTCATTTCTTTGTCATTGAGTTGTCTAAGTTCTTTACATATTTTGGAAATTAACTCCTTGTCAGATATATGGTTTACAAACATTTTCTCCTAATCAGTAAGTTGTCTTTTCAATTTGTCAGTGGTTTCCCTTGCCATGCAGAAGCTTTTCAGTTTGATTAGTTCCATTTGTTTATTTTTTCTTTGGTCTCCCTTGCCTGAGAAGACATATTCAAAGCGATTCTACTAAGACCAATGTCAAAGGTTGTACTGCCTATATTTTCTTCTAGGGGTTTTTTAGTTTCAGGTCTTTAATCCATTTTGAGTTAATTTTTGTGTCTGGTGTAAGATGGTGGTGTACTTTCATTCTTTTGCATGTGGCTGTCCAGTTTTCCCAACACTATTTACTGAGGAGACCTTCCTTCTTCCATTGTATGTTCTTAGCTCCTTTGTCCAAAATTAGCTGTCCACAAATGTGTGGGGTCATTTCTGCCAAAGCCCGTGTTTTTATGAGCCACTGCCTCAGCAGCACCAGAAATCCAGTGCCCTTAGGTGTATGTTTGAAATAGATTGTGAATGGTATATAGAGGAAACCCGGTTATAGAGTCAAATGCTGGCACGTAAAAAAACCCCAAACTAGAAACCTGCCACGGATCGCTGGCTGGAGCGAAAATGAGCATTTTCACAATGTTTAAATTCAGTGACTGAACCTGAGATTTGCTTTAATTTTGCAATCGTCTCGAAGCTGTTAATCTGCCAGGCATTGTGGTGTGGGTGCCTTTTGCCAAGTCTTTCCCAGAAGCATTTTATTATGATAATAATCACAAGTGAGACCCCAGTCCTTTTATTCTATTTATTCTCCATCGTTTCCTGAGATAAGCACTATTTCTGTGGCTCGGCATCCTCCGCCATCCTTATTTGTTTAGGGAGAGAATATTAATTAGTCATGCTAAGGAGGCTGTGAGCCACAAATGAAATTTTGATGATGGAATTCCTTAGACTGTCTTTGCTCCCTAAGGCATTCCTTCTTTAAGCGGTCCCAGTGAATGTAATTATTAACATAAATAATGATAATAATAGTAATAATAATAATTAGCACTGTTTCCTGCTGCAGCTGTTATTCATGGAAAACTGCAGGCTCCTTTCCATGTATTGGTCTCCTTAAAAGTGGAAAATAGATCCTCATTTTGTATTTTATTTCTCTATCATTTTTGTTTTGCTCAACTCATTCTAAGCCCGGCAGCTGGACCCTTATGAAGGTCCTTCTTGGAATTTTGGGAAAAATTAAAAAGGTTCTTGTTCCTGTTTGAAAGAGAAATCTGTCCAGTGTAGAAAACCTCCAACTGGCCGACTTTTCCGTTCCGCGAAGGTCGTCTCGAAGCTCTCCTTGTGTGCTGTAAAGCATTCAAACCCTTCGCGTAACCTCCTCCCTTTGTCTAGTATCGCTGTCTCCCAACCCCTCATCTGGACACGCTGAGAGTCATGTTTCCAAAAAAGCAGATCTGCCTTTCCAACTCTTTTGCTGGAAATCCTTGATAAGCTTCCCACTGCCCTCAGGATAACACCCAAACTTCTTATCACGCCCTAACGTTGAGACTCTGGTTTCCTGTTCTGCCTTATCCCTCCCCGGCATCTCTCTCTTTGGTCCAAACACATCAGACGTCTTTTGGTTTTGCGGAGAGACCACCTCACCTTGGGCCTCAGCGTGTGCCGTGAATGGCGCATCCTTCCTCCCTAATCCGGGCCTCGATTTATGCACCAAGTGCTCCTAGAAGCTCTCCTGTCTTCACAGGTCGAGGGAGGGTGGTGCCTGCTGTGGGTTTTAGGGAGGCGTGAGACCGCGCGCTCGCACCTTCCTCCTGCACTGCAGGGCGGCCCGGGCTGTTCCACGTGTGGGCGATGGTGTGCTGCTGTCCTTCCCCTTCTTGGCTTGTTGGTTTAGAGCAAGAGTTAACAAACTGTAGCCTGTTTTTTTTTTTTTCCCACTTTTTTTTAATTGAGGGGAAATTCACAAAACATAAAGTTAACCATTTTAAAGCGTGCAATTCAGTGCCATTTAGTACATTCACCATGTTGTGCAACTACCACTTCCATCCTGTTCCAAAACATTTTAATCAACCCAAAGGAAACCCCATAAGGGTTAAGCAGTCATCTCCATTCCTTTATCCTCAGCCGCCATCAGCCACCAATCTACTTTCTTTCTCTGTGGATTTTCATATTCTGGACACTTCACATAAATAGAATCATACAATATGCAACTTTTTATCGCTGTTTTCACTGAGCGTAATATTTTTGAGGTTCATCCACATTGTAGCATGAATCAATGCTTCATTCCTTCTCATGGCTGAATGCTAGTCCACTGTATGGATATGCCACATTTTATTTATCCATTCTTCAGGCGATTGACATTTGAGTTGTCTTCACCTTTTAGCCATTATGAATAGGGCTGCTATGAACATTCATGAAGGAGTTCTCATTTGAACATCTGTTTTTAATTCTTTTGGGTGTATACCTAGGAGTGGAGTTGCTGGGTCATATGGCAAGTCTACGTTTAACTTCTTGAGGGACTGCTAAGCCCATCACTTGTTTTGCTAAATAAAGTTTTATCAGAGCGCAGCCACATCACTCATTTATATATTGTCTACGGCTGCTTCTGTGCCGCAATGGCAGAGCTGAGTAGTTGCAACAGAGAGCGTGTAGCCCATAAAGCCCCAAATATGAACTATCTGGAACTTTACAGAAGTTTGCTGATTCCCGACTTAGAACATCTGTGTTAAGCAATGTAGCCTGCAGGCCTTGAAGCCAGTTATAGCCCTTGTTTAAACAAGGACAGGGTGAGTATAGCAAAAAAACCCAAAAACTGGGGCTGGCCCCGTGGCTGAGTGGTTAAGTTCGCACGCTCTGCTGCAGGCGGCCCAGTGTTTTGTTGGTTCGGGTCCTGGGCGCGGACATGGCACTGCTCATCAAACCACGCTGGGGCGGCGTCCCACATGCCACAACTAGAAGGACCCACAACGAAGAATACACAACTATGTACCGGGGGGGCTTTGGGGAGAAAAAGGAAAAATAAAATCTTTAAAAAACAAAACAAAACAAAACAAAACAAAAAACCCACATACTCCCTTAACCTGGCATATAAACTGCTGGGAATTTAGGATGTTTGACGTTGACCTGTGGTTCCGAGGGGTCTATTTTGAATGCCAAAAGGTCAGACTAGGTCTTGTATGAAGCGTGGCCCAGAAAATTGGGTAACAGAGGAGTGACATCAGCAACACGGCTGAGTATGTCCCTTGTTGTATCCTCCCTTCTCCCAACAAGGACAATTTGTCATCCACCCACGGACAAGAGTTCATGCGGGGAGCTGAGGGCCTCAGCACCGTAAGCCAAGGGAACCTGGAGGAGTCTCGCCCACCTGTGCGTTGGGTGATAGACACGCAGACAGACCTCAGTCCTGGCTGTGGACCCAGCAGTGGGCCATGAACTGACTCCAGGTCCTCTCTGCTGTGGTCTGGGAGCCCCTGGAGAATACTGACTTAAATAATCACCCACAGATGAGACAGCCTTTGTGGAAGTCCAGGATTCCAACAAAGAAAGTTCTAGCACAACGTTGGAGCAAAAAAATATGAGTTTGGACACACTGCAAAGGGCAAGAGGAACAGTTTGACTTTGTCCACATCACCTCTCCCCTAAGGTGGCACAGCTCCATGCCAAGACTGTCTCGGCCTGTGATTTCTCCTGTGGGGTAAGTGAGAGTGTGTAAGTGCCTGGCTTTCCCAGCTGTGTGCGACATTGCCAAGGAGGCCCAATTCTCTTTCACCCCATCCAGAGGTCTGAGCTGTGAGCTGCATGACTTGGGGCAGGGAGAGGCTGGTAGAGCAGAGGATAGGACTCTCAGAGGGCATTAAAGAGATGGAGATCCCACCAACTGTGTTGTGGACCCCATCAGGAGCCCACCCATGAGCCACTGGGAATGCCTCATCCATGGATCCCCCAATTGGCACATGGGTCCCCAGCGCTCTGTGCACCTTACCCACACCCCCTCAACACCCTGTGGTCGGCTCTCTGTGTGCACTGCCCATGGTGTCCAGAGTGAGCTCCGGCAGATGGCTAGTGGGCATGCAGAGAAAGCCAGCTAGAGTCTGCAGGCCAA